TGCTGTCTTAATGACCGTAACAAATTAGAGAACCTTATTAACTAAAATCGCGGGTTACTCGCGTGAATATACTGAGAAAAGCTCTACTAGTTTCGAACCACAGATGAGTTCTTCCTCATGAGCAGCGTGCGCGGCCGCGGCGAGTGAGCTGCTTTCTCAGTGTATTCACGTGAGTAATCCGCGATTTTAGTTAATTTAGTATGTCTCACGATAGTTGTTATAAAAAAAAAGAAGACCTCTATTTAGGTCAAGATTTACATTAATCACCGACATAAAAATACCAATACACAAGTTAAGCTTTAACATAATCTAATACTCAAAATCGAATATTATTTATGTCAATTCAGGTAATAGATCCATTTATTTATGTCTACTAGTATAAATAATGACTTTATTACCCCTTAGCCACCTTCTGCCACCCCCTACTAGTGACCAATGCCACCCTGGCATTGTTTGATGGTGGTTGACTAATAGATGCCGTCAATTTGATGGTCACGACGTCATAGCGATGATAGATGATGGCGGACCATTATAATATTATTTTGAAGGCTTTTTTATATCGCTGAGTTCGCATTGGATTTTGCCTTTTTTTTGGTTTTATTGGGGTATAAAGGAATGTTATGTTTGTTAATGTAAGTTCAAATTACATCTGGTTTGTTTATTTATGGGGTTAAAGCTTTGACGGCCAATAGAAAATTGATGAAGGCAATTCTTCCGCTAATTGTCGGTCACCGGTAACTCCCATGGCGTTTAATGTGCAAGTGTTCTTACTGGGTTTAAGACTCTTCTACGATCTTTGAATTGGAGAAATCATATTGAAATGTCTTTAAACAACAATTTATTTATATTATGACTGTCCTGAGACATAATAACTTATGTATTTATTTCGGTTTACTCACGTTATTATGTCTGACTGCCTCGTTGGCCGAGTGCCGGGTAAAGGGCCTCGGGTTCGATTCCCGGGTTGGGCAAAGTATTACTGGGTTTTTAAAAAAATTCTCAGTAATAGCACGGAGTCTGGAACTGTGCCCGGTATATGGCAACAGGCTTACCCCCTATTACATGGGACTCATAACATAATTTCGGGGAATCGAACCCCCTTGCCCGGCAGTCGCAATTGCGACCACTCGGCCAACGAGGCAGTATAAATAAAACCTGAATAATAATACCACAGCAAGTAACAATAATAACCTCTAAGTAAGATCCAGCTTCCAACCTCTGTTTTACTAGATACAAACGAGTTCAAGAATAGATTCTTTAAACAACGATACCAAGATCAAATCCTTTGTCGTGTCCTTACAGAGTGCATTACTTAATCAATTGAATATGACTGCCTCGTTGGCCGAGTGGTCGCAAGTGCGACTACCGGGCAAGGGGTCTCGGGTTCGATTTCCGGGTCGGGCAAAGTACTATAGGGTTTTAAAAAAAAATCACAGTAGTAGCACGGAGTCTGGAATTGTGCCCGGGATATGGCAATAGGCTCACCCCCTATTACATGGGATGGGACTCATAACCTAAATAGTGAAAAGTGGGTGTTACATTGTACAGTGGCGTAATGTGCACCTCTGCCTACCCCTTCGGAGATAAAAAGGCGTGATGTTATGATGATGATGATGAATTTGTTACTTTAAAATGTACAAAACAGCACGACATTGTACACTAATTTTCTTCAATAGGTTTTCTACTCTATTGTGTACAGGATAACGTTGATTATCCATTAAAGGGATTTAAGGGAGTAGGGTTGTTTGATATGCTGCGTGTGACTCAATGCATTAGGCATTGTGGTGCCATGGTCAAAGGAAAATAGTTTTTATGTGTATGTACTTAAGTTGAGGTTTGTTATTCTCTGGTCTGAATAAATATTTATTTTATAATCTGTTTTCGATATTATAGTTTTTTTTATTAAGGGCCGATTTTTGCAACGTTAGATAATAGGGGGTGAGCCTATTGCCATATACCGGGCACATATCCAGACTACGTGCTACTACTGAGATTTTTTTTTTTAAATCCAGTAATAATTTGTCCGATCCTGAATTCGAACCCGAGACGGCCAACGAGGCAGTTTACAACGACTGTTTATAATAACCACATTAAACAACAACAAATTGGTATATTGATAGTTTAGTAGCAATTTTTATAAAGGTACGATAACTTGGATAGAAATCACACGCCGCATTGATTTCATTAAATATCAACCGATAATCGATTTTATATTAAATTTTTGTACGACAGCGACTGTGTCTGACGGCGTAAAAACTCCTCCACGGCGCCGACCACATTTTAAATGAATTAATGCACATATTTAAAACACCAAAATGTATATTTAAAATGTGTTTTTAATTTACCATAGGCTACGAAAAAATTCGTAGTTCAGTATCTACGAATTTTTTGCTACGAATTTTCGTAGCAGCGTAGCGCGTCTACGAGAATTAGATTTGTTTTAGTTTCAAAGCTTGAGATAAAAAATGTCGTAGCTGTGTGTTGCACGCACACATTGATAATTTGAAATGTTATTGTATACGCTTTTTGAGTCCACTTGTGTGCGTGGATGACGTAGAACTTCATGTAAAATGCATAATTATAATCTCAGTAACTGGAGTAGAATGAGAATGTTATACGTCATAGAACATAGTATAATGTCATAATGTTTTTGGCTCAGGGCATAGGCATGGATGTACATTGTAACACCTAACTACTATTCTCTAGTTATGTTATTTGTCCCATGTAATAAGGGGTGAGCCTATTGCTACATATCAGGTACGGCTTCAAAGTACGTGTTCTTAATGACATTCTTAGTTGAAAGGTATTGTACCTAGGTACCTAGAATTGTTTTTAACTACGAGAAACTTAGTAAGAAAATAACATAACGTAACATCATGCCTTTTATCCGCGAAGGGGTAGGCAGTGGTGCACATTATGGTACTTAATGCCACTGTACAATGTAACACCCACTTTTCACCTTTTATGTTAAGAGTCTCATGCAATGGAGGGTCAGCCTATTGCCATGTACCGGGCACAGTTCCAGACTCCGTGTTACTACTGAGATTATTTTTTTTAACCCCAGTGATACTTTGCCTGACCCGGTAATCGAACACGAGACACCTTGCCGTGCAGTCATTTGCGACCACTCGGTCAACAAGGCAGTCAACAAAATAAATAGCATTTATATCGCTATAGCATAGCATTTACGTCAATTTGTGTAAGGACAAAATAGGTCAAAGACCTTTGCTGAATTACGAGACTACAAACAAAAACTTTCCTTCAACAAAGATACAGTTACAAAATGGGATATCCATAAATATCGGCTAGGTGAACGACATCCGAGGACCTTGCTGAATAATCTTTCAATTAATTTACAATTCGCCGCCCACCCGACTCACTGAATGAACAGGTGGTGGCCGCAGGCGCGCGGAAAAATATCCTACAAAACCCACCACTAATACCGCACCAAATTCCAAATACAGTATACATTGCTGCATCTGTGTGAACAGTAAAGTGAAAGACCGGTACAAACCCAGCGGTGTATGTCGTGCGAATACAAATTGTTGTGTTCAGTCCGTGTTAATCTCGGTGAATGGGGTTTGTTTACGAATGCTGAGTGGCCATGAACCGCGGCGGGTTACACTTTATTCCTCTATATTCGGATATTTCGCTTCGAAAGCGAGAGTGGCCTGGTTTTTGTTTCATGTTTGATTTATTGTCGTTATGTAACTGTTGCGGTCACACTGTCATTGATGGGTTAAGGTTCGCGTCAACGTCCGATTTTTTGTCGGGTCATGACCGATTTTTCGCGCGGTTTCCGATTGTTGGGTTTATCTAAGGATGGTAGTACAGTAACATTTGTGGCTGTGAATGATTCTGGTTCAATAATTATTACGGAGAGTTTCAATCTTTAAGATACGATAGGCTGGGATGAAAACTCCATACAATGCGTTAAAATTATATTTTTAGTAACCAATTGTAAAGATAGATAGATCATTGCAAGTAACTGTTAGAGACATGAGGATAAATGATAGATAAATTGCAACGTATCGTCAGTTAAATGGGAAAATGACGTAGTTCAGAAAGGACAAATTTTACAGTACAAGCGTTTGAAGTTATTAATTTCGTTTGAATCGAAATGACGCTTGCGACATCTAGTTAACGTGGCGTGAACTATTTAAAGTGTTGTTTTTATATATAAAATAATCTTGTTAGTAGAATCGTTTTGTGTAATACTTAATCTTAATTTCCAATAAAATTGAAAAATGCCAATTTTCCATTTAATCGACGATACATATTACAATCCTTTGTTGAGAGATCAATTTTAGTACCTCACAATAAACCCTTAGGTAACCGGTTTCATTAACTCTTATAGGTATTTTTTTTTAAGGGGGGAAAATCATCAAATGGTTGCTCCCGCCTGGGTGAGGCGGAAGGGAGTGTCAGACTCTTACTGACTAAAAACCACCCCGTTCCTTCTCCTGCACGTCGAGCCGGAGCCCCGGTTACCCGTTAGGTTCTCCGCGACTAACTCTTCTAGTTATAGATGTAAAACTTTATAGGTAGTTAAAAATAGTTCAATTAAACTTTTAAAATATTGCTACTGCTGTAGTTTGTCCTTAGTACTTACCTTTTCAGTTTAAGATTTTACGCATCATATAAATTTATGGAGACAGATACAAATCGATTCATGATATTCCAACACGATGAAAGACTATAAGATTTGAAAAGAGACCACGTTCAAAAAGTTATTTAATCTTTTTGCTAAATCACGCTTAATGAAATGGATTTTTTTTAAATTTTTTTTACGTTTGCATCGAAACTTTTCCAAATAGGTTGAGCATGAGCATGAACTAATCATAAAATAAATGTTTAATTTGTTATTTATGATAATGTTAATCATTAGTCACCAAAGTAAAGGGTATACACATGACATGAAAGAAATGAAAAAAATTAAATAAAAAAAAACAAAACAAAATAAAGAAAAAAGGTCAGGAAAATAAGGTTTAAGTACTTACTGGTGTCGAACTCGAGCGCCCTCTGCCGCGTCCTCTGCGAGACTCGCTCTTCACTGTCTGCAAGGTCCCGTCCGGAGCCAAAATAAGCTATAACAACACAGACACACCACAGACTTAACATAAAGCAAAAATAAAGTAAGTAAAACAAAGGAGAAACGTTAACACAAAAAGAGGGAAAAATGAAAAGACAAACATGCAATGGAGGTAAGGTTAGATGGCGACATATTAGTGTTTTAGTATGAAAACTGTTATTAAAAGTTCGGTTTGAAAATAATTATTATTATTATCATAGTAACCGGTTTAACTAAAATCCTTTATAAAAATACCTAATTTTATAAGCTACCACTAAATCTACTGTTAACGCCATCTATGTTCGCTTTTATGAAACAGTGCTTATTCCAACGTCCTGTTGCTCGCGACTACCGTAGTTCTGCTACTACCCGATAGATGGCGCTTTCTTAAACCGTACTAGTCGAGTTCCGATTTTAATTTTCTAAACAAATTGTACTTGCAGAATATAATTTAGTTTTAACCAGTCCATTTTTTGTTTTGAAATATAATTTACTTAAAATGTTATAAGGTGGGACTGTGTGCAGCCCTGTGATTGTAACTAATTTTTACAAACTTTTTTTGTTTGATTTAGAAACATTGTAAGTTAAGGTTTAATCATTAATGCATGTAAGTGTCGTGAAACAAATTCAATTGTACACAGAAATCATTACAATTCTATTTGGCTTCGCTTTCTTTGAAATGAAATTAAACTATTTGATGCCACTATCTGCGCCTACAATCAAAAGAAATTAGTATTCAAAGAAATCCGCTTTCAAATATTGACGAGCCGCTCAACTGTCGAACTAATGACAGCTGTCATTGTGAAACATAACGAGCTTTTTCGTCCTAGCCGCACTAATTAAATAGGCTACTTCAACTGGGGCCACGAATAAATAAATAGTTTCTGTTGCTGAGCACATGGCATCATGGCATCGCCACACACCTGGCGTGTTCGTTCGTTACTCCTGTTTTTGTGTTAGACTCGAACGACATTTGTTCTATCGCCGTCCCTTTCTGCCCCTCCCTCTCTTTCTAACGCTATCTATTCTTATTCAAATCGCAGGATTTGTAATTATCCTTGTGAACAGGTCCCGGACTCATTTTTCGTTCGCTAGAGATTTTTATAAGATGAATAAACATTAGGATGGTTTTCATGGGAACAGCTGCATTATTACTTCTTAGTACGTTTGTTGTGGCTTCATATAAAGTGTTTAAAGACCGTTTTTATTCATACTTAGTTCCCATTTTAATCAAAATATTATCTATTTATTTACTTTCTGAGATTTTATCGTTTTAATTACTGAACTACCGTTAGCTAAAATTAGTTTACGACTATTATTATTTGTAAATATTGTTAGAAGGAAATGTTTTTACTATTATCTACGAAAAAAATCACAAAAACAAACGGAACTTCCTTGAATTTATGAGTCGCAGCATTGTGACATACTTTCTAAATTTTAGGGGAAACATCACGAACGTGGCTACTGTTATTTAAATATTAATTATCAGGGAGCATCATCGTCATACATTGAATTCATTAAACAGTTTGTAAATTAGAATTAGTGCACCTTCGCACCATCTGTCGGTATCTTAACGAATTCTTCTAATTATAATATTTCATATTTTAATAACACATTTTAAAAGCTTATCGATTGTTGCGTGTGATTGCATCGGATTTTAATGTGTTATTACGTTTTTGATTTCATTTTAAAGATGTTATGTTATAATTATTATTCCAATTTTAATGATTGATCAATCTTAAAAAGAGTACCTATGTTTATTTAATTACGACAGAAATAAAACGATGTTATCATGTGTAAACAAGTGATATAGCAACCATCTAGCAACTAAGTAGTTTAAAATATTTCAACAATCCGTTTAAAAAGTATCAATGAAATCAAGCTATCAAATTTTTGTACGCAAGTCTCAATAGGCCTATCGAGGCAAGACGTCTTGGAGCCACGTTTGAACTCGCGTGTATCCGTAAACAAATTACTTGCTCCCGGGAGATCATACTGTACTCGTAGTACTCGTAATTCGGCTCGTATTCCGGTAACGTGGTTTGGTGTCGCGTGGGTTTATTGAGGCAGGTCATGTTCGTCACGCGAAGCACTTGATTACCTCATTGACGAGTGCTGAGGCAAGTTAGTGATGTCCGCAACGTAAATTTACGGTTGTTATGGCGGTTCTGCGGTTGTTAGAGCCACCTTTTGTGGATGATTACGTGTTTGGGATTGGACTTGAAAATATTCGTGGTTTAGGATAAGAAGTATAATTGAATTGATATAGGATATTAGTAGAACAGTTTTTGTCACTCGTCTAGATGTATGTACCTATTCAGAGTCTAATTTCGCTCATATTTTTTGTTAAGAATCGAATGTCACTTTAATGTGCAAATATTTGTAAATGTTTATAAAGTAAATGTCGATTGTTCATGCTTGTCTCTTGCCATCGACTAATTGTTGTCAATGCTGAATAAGTTGTCAACGGACTTAAATACTTTGCCTGCAATGAATTAAAATGATAGTCTTGCATTTTATACGGGCCCTTGTGTGCCAATGTCGTGTCGTGACATTAATTACATACTAAATAGGGTTCAAATTAAAATTGACGTCTCAACACAATAGAATATTTATACAAATGTTTCGACACAAAAAATAGTCGTTGTACTAAATAAATAAAGGTTCACGAAAGTAAGTTATGCTGCTCTAGTACTTTAGACGAATTTAATAGTCTAACTTAAAACGTTAGGTCTCACTAAATCGCTCCATTCTATTGTCTGTAATTCATTTTAAGTGCGACAGTTGCCATAAAATAAAGTAACATGTAACCTAATTATATTTAATGTTAAATATAATTCATCAAGACAACCGTCCATTGAAATTGTACCGCCATGATGGATTGAAATGGCAGTTATTTAAAATCGGTTAAAAAGGCAGGTGCAACCCATCGACGAAGATAATAAAGGCAGAAGATAATCTCGAACGTTAATCTGTACAGTAAAATAACGAGGTTAATTGGAATATGTTTTGTTTCGTTTTCGTATGTCCGTTTTTGCAGACCGTTAGTAAATTACAATGGGCCCGTGTTTAGTGCCGCTACTCGACGACAGATGGCATGCAAACTAAGTTGCGGAACTGCGCTCCCGTAATTTCGTATCATTTTATTAAAAGTTAAATAAGCTGTTATTTTGTTTCATTAAATTGCAAAGAATATTGTACCTAGTGAGAGCATAGAAAATGTTTTGTAGATTCTGCTAAATTTCGTTTTATATGAAAGTAAGTTGGCGGCAATCGAGCCTAAGTGAAGCTCAAATTGGTGATATTCGTCCCAAAGTGCCGATTCGACATGTCTGTTGCGATTCAGCGGTTTTATTTGAATGAGAATGCGATTCGCGTGACAATATCGAGTGCGTACTGTCGGCAGCCGGTGCCTGGTTGGAAAATAGTTTCGGAATATAGATTGCTTTTTCTATAGCCTTTTAAGTTTTGTATTGGAAAACGATTACATTAGTTTGGATATCGGAATTTCGGGGATTAAACGACGCGCGAAACGAATACGAGTATTTGATGTATTCGTCTTATTTATTTATTTACATCGACCTTTTAGTATCTGTTGGGATTTTCAACAATGTTCTTTCTAATCTTGTGCTAGTAATACTATATTTGAAAATGCAATGTTACTTGAACAGCCAGTTAGATACGTAAAAAGTCATAGTTCCTTTGAAAATTTAAACTAACATCAAATTATAAACACAAATCATAAAGTTTATAAGCATTCATTTCTGTACTATTATCTTGGGACTAAGTTAAGTCCTTCCAGTATTCTTTCGAGAATGTGCTAGATAACAATAGAAGAAGTTTGCCAGTAAACAATTACATTGTATAACAAAGTTCACATATAAATTATAGTGCGAATGTCAGGACGTCTGAAGTAATTTTACACTCGAGTACGTTTAATCAAGTTGAATATGAAAACTATATGGAGACGAGACGTCCATGGTTTTGTGTGTAAAAAGATAATTTATGACAACTAGAGATGGAATGTTTCATTGTCTAGTGTTTATGTAATAATTTTATAAATAAAACGACTGCACGGTCGGCGCGGTTGCTGGGCAACGTGTAGCGGGTTCGATTCCCGCACAGAACAACTCTTTGTGTGATCCACAAATTTTTGTTTCGGGTTGGGTGTCATGTGTATGTGAACTTGTATGTTTGTAAACGCAACCGCGATACAGGAGTAAATCCTAGTGTGGGGCAAGGTTTAAAAAAAATTAAAGATAAATCAAAATTTACGGCGATTGAGGGCGATTGAAGTAAAAACCTAAAAAACACATTATTTTTGGAGCTATACAGTAAATCTTTTGATAAAACTCATGTAACTTAAAACTTACTTTACTTTTTATAAATAGTCTGGTACTCTACATAGCCTTTGGATATTATGTCGCGTAGATGATTCAATCTTTTTTCATTATAAAATATGCATTCGATTGGCATCTTAAACGTTTACACTCACATCATCCTTTCATCTACAGCCTAATAAAAAACAAAACAGACAAAAATCGTGTGTATAATACACCGCGACCGTTTGAACTCTAAATACAGTAACTACATCCTATAGCGCGGAATTCATTCAGTCAATCAATCACTAAATGGTAGCTAACAGGTTTTACTAATACCTGGGACGGTCCTGGTCGCCGAGGGCGTCGGGTAGTGTTCGACGGGATCGGGTGGGGTCGTGTGGGGTCGTATGGGGTCGTAAATTGGTCAGAAACATCCTCCCTCGTGTTTAAATAGATATCTGCACATCAGTGCGTGTTGGCCACTAAATGTATTAAGAGATTATTCGGACTGCGTCCCTGTAAAAGCCTGTCAGTATCATTTTGTGTAACGGCGTAAGCACTAGATTTAGTGTTGGATTTAGGTTTGTTCATTTTTAAATTATTACATTTTTATAGATTTATATCGAGCTGTTTATTTTGTGGACTAAAGCAAGTTGATACAGTGCAACCTTTGATATTTCTACGTAAAACGTAA